TTTTATCGTTTTTTTGCAAATATTTCATTTGCAAACATATACATTTAAACGAAAATCATGTAATGAACAAAATTATATCAATTAAAATTCTAATAAATCGCTGTTCTATAAATTGTTCTAGTAACAATATAAGGCTATATGAAAATGGAGTTTTTATAGTACTCAAATAAGCTTTAGAATGAGTACTTCTTCTGCGTGTAAAATGAGTGAGCTATCATGCAGATAAAAGATGCATACAATATTTTTTTCATTTAAAGCAAATAGTTTTTGAGCGCCATTTCAAACAAAATTGAAAATAATTGTATTGCCTCTATAATCAACTTGGTTTAAGAGATTGACGGATTCTATTTCCAAAAATCTCATGATTTCACAAAAAAAATCTATTTAAAAAAATAAAAGATACGTATCAAGGTCTTTTACTGACGAATTATTGCTTTTTATTATTTTCCTGTTACACAAATATTGATAGTGTCCAACCAGAGTGTCTTTCGAGTCCTTCAATCCTTCACCATTTCAAAATAAGAAAAGTTACGGTAAAATTTATGATAGAGAAAGTTGTAACTCATTTAATTATAAATAATAGTGTATTGCAAGTACTGATAAAATCAGAATAAAAAGAGTTATAATTCAAATAATCCGGTGGGTGGTGTTCAGAAGTTCAAATTGTTTTCACTTCTGAACTTAAGATAAAGATCAGCCTATTTCCGATACACGCTTTTTTCCTCTCTATTTATTGCAATAATTTTGTTGATCGTAGGTTGAATAGAGCACATGTGAACAGGATTTGATAAATTAATTCACTTCAAATATAAACTTAAGTAATAATGTATATTGAATTATTAGTGAAAAAAATTTAATTTAGATCGTAAATTACTAAAAGCCAGTTAAAATATGGTACATAATTATAAAAATTATAGGCAACATTATTGAAGCATTTATTTTGGGTAGAAAAATCCAAGGTGATATTGTACCTATATGGTGATATTATACCTTCTGAATTTGTTATACCTTTTAAAAGACTTCAATTTTCAGCACGTGTCTTATGCTATGACCATAAATCACAAAGGCAGACAATGATTTTCTGTGTGATAAATTTGGAATATCAATGTTTTAGTCGTGAATAAACAAAAAATCATTTATTTATACATCCACTTCTACAGGTATGACTGAAAAATTGTATAACCCTTGGCATTAAATTAAATTGAGCTATTGGAAATAAATTTACAGTGTATAATCTTTAATATACAATTTTATTGAACATTTTTTAATATTTGTTAAATGGATAATTAAAGTGTTAACTGTGGGAATTGAGAATAATCATTTTATTTAAAACAGTTCTACATTCAACATCACTCATATATTGGTGTAAATAGTAATTCGAAAAACAATAATGATTATTTTTAACTGAACGGTATAAATATTAGTATATGATATTAAAAAAGTAGATGTGGGTACAGGACAACGTCTGTCGGGTCATCTAGTATATATATATAGTAACAAAGTCTAGTAATCGGGCATAACATCAATAAAAAAACATGAATTTTTTTCAAAAATTTATTTTAAATCCATACGTTTCGGCTATAATCCTAGCCTGCATTCAGTGGAAACTAAAAATAAAATTAAAAACTAAAACAATTGAATCAGATTGAAAAGAAAAATAAAAAGAGTAAATGGTACTTACAATTAGTTAAACTTAGTGTTAAATTGGAAGATTTTAATAATCCATGGTATCAATATATGGTGAATGAAAGCTAGGATTATAGCCGAAACATATGGATTTGAATGAAATTCATGTTTTTTATTGATGTTATGCCCGATTACTAGACCTTGTTAATACATATGTCAACATAAAATTCAGAATCATACAATATATATATATATATATATATATATATATATATATATGTATATATACATATATATTATATAAATATATATTTATATAATATATAATATTTTTTCAAACTTTGATCATTTTTTAAATTAAACTACTTGTCGTAGAGCCTTAATATTTTAGTATGTTCTTTAGGAACTAAAAAAAGGTTCATAAAAATCCGCAATTTTTTTTCAACAGTTTATTACAAGAAAATGGCTCGGTAGATCTTTACCTAAAACTAATCAGTATCATTCCGAACTAATATCTTTCGAACAGTTTTTGATTTTTTGAATTCGATTCAGATCATTCTAATGGACGAAAAAGCTTTACAATTTGCAAATTACAAAGAAACGGCTCGGCCGATCGTCGCGCAAAACTGACAAACGATAGTCCTCATCGAGGTACATCGAATTGCTGTTAAATTTGAGAAAACGTCGATTTAAGATAAACTAATATTATAATATTGTTGACAAAAAAAGAATGTATGGTGCGCTATATAGTTATATACAATCTAATAAAATAGAATTGTAAAGTTGCTTGATAGAATGTATATGACTAATGTGCTTTTATACATAGTCAAAAAATAAACATATAAAAAAGGGAGACAATCTGTTCCACACACGTCCTTTTTACAAATTTGATCTCATTTGATTCAGAATAGCCTAAATCGTTGAGAAAACATAAAATTAGCGAATCGGATTTTTTGATGAAAACTATTTCTCCTTCGGGAAGTTAATAATACTTACTGGAGACTAGCAATGACATTAACTCCTGACAGAAGCACCATTGGCAAAAGGCAATATCCCAAAACTGATGCCACACCCATCAGAGTTGCTCCACGTTGAGACATTAGATTAAGAAGGCTGTACATACCCAAACAACCAATTCCACCGATACCATAAATGTAGGAAAAATGCACTTTGCCAGACTAAAAAAATATAAAATCAGTTTTATTTATTAACTTTAAAATCAGGAAAAAGAAATTCATTCTATATTAATCTCTGTCAATATCAAAATCACTGTCAATGCTCAAATCAAATTGTATTTTTAATGTCTAGTTTTACTCATAAAAATTTATTTGTTGTCCCTAAAAGATAGGTGTAAAATTTACTATATAATAAAAAAAATTGAGATCAACTAATACTTTTAAAGTTGAGGCTAGCTTTATTAATTTATTAATTATATAGATATTTGTATTAAATGGTTATCATTAAAAAAAATATTAATTTCATTAATCAATATATGTATATTGATTTTATTATGAATCTTTAAATCAAGTACGTGAAGTTAAGAGTAATATTCTCTTAGTTTTATTAATTAAAATTAGTTTAGCTTTATTAATATATTAAATATAGTTATTTGAATTAGATTAATATTAAAAAATATTATATTACTCTCAACCAATTTGAATATAGATTTATTAATGTGTTTAATAATTAGGTTTGAAATAAACTGAAAAACAGTTATTTTATTACAGATGTTAGATGCAGATTCATTAATCAATTTTTGTCTAGCTTTATTAATGTATTTTAAATTTTGGTTTCAATTAATCAATATACATACTTAAAATTGAGTTAATTTGAAATATATGAAAAGATCTATACTATTATTGAAAAAATATTATTTACCAGTAAAAGAAAAGCTCCAAATGCTAAACAAAAAACAAGTGGCCCGGCCATATCAGTATCGTTGAACAAAATTCGGATCGGGATCTTCTTTGGGATTTAATACTGATAATGTCTAAAATAGGAATTTATATTATTATTAGACCACATATCAAAAATCAGCTGTAAGAATTTCATTACATTATTATTACATAAAAAATATAATTCAATAACTAATTCCATTCCGTTATGAATATATATTTGGATTTTCAAAACTTATATAAATTAAATTTATACAAATAAACCTTATAAAAATTTAAAAAAAATGAAAATAAAGTAGCAAAAGTTGAAAGTTGACCTTACCTTTTTGAGAATATGATCTGGATTTATACCCAATTCTAAAATAAAATAATTTCTTATTAAATTTCAAATACAAAATATAATGATATACTAGTGATATATAAAAATGTTCAAAAATGTTTTTAGAATCGTGAAATTGAGAAGTACATTTACCTTCCAGTAGTGGTGGTTCATCATCAAATTCTCCTCCGCCTCCTCCATGAGAATATTGGTCAGTTTTTGGCATTAAATTTGGATCATAAACTTGACCGGTGTAAACATTTTCAGTTGGAGTAAATGGAACATTTGGATACATTTGATTTTGATTGGACAATGGTTGTTGATTTGGATCATTGTCGAATGATTGAAAACCGCTGAAAGCAAAATCAAGTTTTGGTTTTAAAATTTAAAGATAAATTGTCAATAAACAAAAATTAAGTGAACTACTTGTAAATAGCATTTTGCCTTAAGGCATTTACTTTTTGCTACAAATATATAATAAACTTAACAGATTAGAATTGAGATTCAGCAATGTATGTAAATGTTTATTTGGAAAATAATTTTTCGCTTTTACTAAAAGTTAATCAATGCGATTTCCAATTTGCGTACTAAAAGTTAATCAATGCGATTTATAATTTCTGTAATTGTATCGATTAAATTAATTCGTTTAACACATTTCAGTTCATCCATTTCAGGTACTAAAAATGTATTTTATTTAATTGAGGACGTCAACTATAATCAGTAGTTACCTACGATACACAGAACCCCGGATGGCTCAGATTTTGATTAAAATCGCTCGAGTGCGCGTCAAAATTCTAAACTTTGTTAACTTTTATATTTCAACCGCTTATCGTAGGCCTACAATATTTTATAGTATGTCATTTCAGACTTGTCAACATTTAATTACGGAAAAACGGCACGGCCGATCTTTACCAGAAACTAATTAACGTGATTCAAAACCAATAACAAATTTTAAATTTTTTTAAATCGGCTCATAATTACTGTTTGTAATCAACACTAATCGTACCGCCGCTTCCATATACATAACTATTCTTACCATAGCGTATACAGGGTGGCTGATATGTATTGCAACAAAGTAAAGCGCTATAACTTTGTCATTTTCATTTTAAATTTCATTATTCAAAAGCAAAAATATCAGAAATAACATCAAATTTTAGAATTTGTTCATATTTGTTCCAATTGGCCACTTTTGGCACAAATTATGGCCTTCAAACGGCAGAAAAACCATAACACGCTGCACGAAAGTGGCTCTGGGGTATTTTGGCCCATTCCCGGCGAGGCGCCTTCTTGGGATGATCGACACTTTGGTATTTTTTAGTGCGAACCTTACTCTTCAAAATGTCCGAGACACAAAAGTCCAGCAAATTTAGATCCAGAGATCTTGGTGGCTATTGTGGGATGGAAATGAAGCGAAAAACCTCTTTTATAAGCCATTTTTGGTAGGCGCGTGCTGAGTTTGATGGTGCTGAGTCCTGTTGGAATGACCATGGTCTGCGATCAAAATTTTTGTCTACCCAGGACTTCAATACTGCCTTTAAGACATTTTCCCGATAATTTCGGCAATTATTTTGATCCCACGGTCGATGAATAAGAGTGGAATGTCACCATCGGCCGTTACGGTGGTTCACACCATTACCGTCGGCGGCACTCGAGTTCTGGTGGTGTAAATTTTTAGCTGACCTTTTTGGCAAGTAAACCCTATCATTCTGTTTGTTCACAAACTGCTCGATTTGGAAGGACTTCCCATCTGAGAAAACCAAATTCGGTAACTAGCCACTTTCGTGCAAGCGAAGCAACCCCTTCGCTTCTTTCCGTCTAACTTTTTTTTGTGCGTCAATGAGCTCTTGCACTTTTTGGATCTTCAATGGTTTTAGTTCAAGCTCATTTTTCAATACGTGTTGCATCCGTTTTTGCGATATGTTTAGCTCACGGGCCATTTTTTTACCACTGCGACACGAATTTCGATTGATTTTTGCCTATACTTTTTGGATCATTTCTGGGGTTGTTAGTGTTTTTTTTCGTCCACTTTTTGGACGCGGTGCAACACTGAGTGTATCACCGTTACGAGATATGGTACGAGAAACAAAATATTTGTTCGCATTTAAATACTGGAGGGCTCGAAATATAGCCACCTAAGGTTTTTCAACCAAGTATGAAGCAATCGCACTATCACGCTTGACTTCCATCACGAATAACTTTTTTTCTGAATGCAATAGATCAAAATGCTTTTGTACGCTTGTAAACAATTAAATAAACAATCACTGGAATAAATCTGTCATCTGTCTGATGAGCGGTTTAGAAATGATAGCGGTCTGAAATTGGTTGCAATACATATCAGCCACCCTGTATATCATATATCCATAGATAAATAAGCATAATTAATTAATCAATTAAGGGGTATTCTAGTGTAGAAATTCAAAAAAATCTATTTTGTATTTCATATTTTCAAAGTTTAACAATCTAAGAATATGGGTACGAGAAGGTTTTTGAAAACTTGAATTGTTTTCGGAGATATAGGTATTTTACTGACTCGGTCTCCATACTGGTTTGGCTTCACGCAAAACTTTAAATGCGTTTTTCTCAGAACAGACTTTTTCAGTACTGTTGACACGATTTCTCGAGTTTTAATCGACCGATTCACTTGAAATGTTCAGAGACTCTTGTTTATAGACCTATCTGTAGCCCGAACTAGGATTATCCCCAAATTCCAATTTTTACTATTTTTAAAAATTCGAGAAAATCAAAATATCAGTAAAAAACATATTTTTACTCATCGCTAGTTCGGGCGATTGCGACATCATTGTAAATTAATAATCTTTTTATTTTTTGCATTTCCGATGGCTAGGAGGGCTGAAATCATGTCAAGACCGAGGTGCCAATTTTTGAGACCACCCACTTCATCAGCTGCCAGTTTTTACAATTTTCAAGTTTTTTATTTTTATATTTTTGTTTTGTTTTTTAATAATATTAATAAACAAGTGGTAAAAAATGGATAGTAAAAACATCCGTTGCTTTCTTTTACGACACTTCAAAAATGACCTAAAATTCATCGCTCTACACTAGAATACTCCCTTAATTAATGAATTAATAAGCATAAGCATAAATAACCATATACCTACCCGCAACATAGCGGGTCAAATGACCCAACTTGCTTGATAGTATAAAATTATGGAAATTATTAGGTTTGTTCGGAAAGTAACTTCGCTTTTTATAGACATTTTGGCACGTAATTTAATAGTGAAATAAACCAATGCTTTAATAAACTATATATTTGCTATTTTGATCAAACATCTTTTGTCATATTTCTGGTATTAGCATAATTCCGAAATTAAATTTTTTGATCGTTATTGGCAAAAAACTGATCACAGTGCTTTTTGACCTCCTCATTTGAGGTGAAAATTTTACCGCCTAAAAAGTTTTTTAGTGACCGGATCAAATAATGGTCGAATGATGGAATGTGACGAATGTGGCATTATGCCCAAATCAAGCAGTAACAGCTTTTGGCGATGCACCAAACTTATGTGAGGTCTTGCGTCGTCATGATGCAATACTATACCTTGCTTGTGGGTTAATTCTGACCCTTTCTTTTGAAGTACATAATTTAGTTTATGCAACTGATGACATAAGGCATCCACATTAACCGTTATGTTATTTTAAAAAAGCTGAAAAAAGAACAACTCCTTAAAAATCTCACCAAACATATTGCATCACCTTTTTTTGGTTAATTACAGATTTGCAACTGTTTTGAACAGGTTCTTCTTTTATGCATCATGGGAGATTGTGTGTATTTTATTCTTTACATCTAATTTGACATTTCTAGTGACAATTCGCTTCAAAACCTGAACATTTTAGGACTTTTCAGAGGCAAATAGCAAACGCTAGTGGGACGACACAAGTTTCTTTCTATGAAAACCATACATTGAGCTTCGAGGAAAATCCCAGACCTTTTAAGTGGCCATGAACTGCTAAATTTGATAAATTTAAAATCAAAGGAATATCATGTATTGTTATTAGCCGGTTTGCATCAACTAATACCTTTCTCGACTTTCAAGCTTCAATCGTACTTCTTGGACGTGGTGCTCTTGGACATCAAAATACCAGGAATGAAATTTAGGGAACCAGTTTTGGCACCGTTGTATTATCAATACGTCATTTCCATATACATCAATCGATTTCACTTTGATTTAAGCAGTATTTTTACTTTTCCTATAGCGTAAGACTAAAATATGTCGAAAATGGTGCTTAATTCTTTTCGTATTCAAAGCGGCACCATATATTTTTTACACACAAACCTTAAAATATAAGCTTTCAAATGATATAATTAGAGTGCTTAAGTGTGATTTTAGGTTCAAATAAAAAAAATATAGTTAAATCCTAGGTGGTAAAAAAAAACAAAGTGACTTTTCGAACAACCTTATAGAATGGAAACTATTGGTATTTTTGCATTTTCGTTAAGTGTAATTATCTTGAAAATATTCTCGAAAAATTTGAAGTTGATCTGATGATTACTTTTTGAGTTATTGAACTCTTACCAGTGCGCTAAAGCAAGTTGAGAGTTCGATACTTATACTCAAGATTTTTATCCCTTACCTTCTGATGTTTTAAAAGCTATTAAACCAATTTACGACGATCTCAGCAATGATAATTTACTTTCAAGATCTCTAGTTCAATATTGAATCCATAATCAGAAAAAAAAATTGAGAGCTTCAACCAACTAGTATGAAAAATATGCCCAAAAACCGTGAATACTAGTTCTAATATCGTACAAATTGCAGCATACATATACATAATCATTAATATTGATCATGGATACTCTAGAAACTAATTGTGGGTATAATTCCCATTATGCTGAAAAATTGTATGCTGCACGTGTGAAAGTGGCAGATCAGCGCGCCAACGAGAACATTTGGGAGGCCTGAATGCTTCGTAGGCAACAGCAAATAGAAATTTTGGAATATTCCACAATGACTGATGAACTATTATATGGCCCAGAAATAGATGACTCGGTTTAAGTAATTCAATAATTCGTATTTCTGTTCGTAAATCCAATGTGAAACTTCAAACGCGTTTTTCAAAACTATGTTTTTTGAACTGGTGACAACTGTAACTCGAAAGCCGCTTAAAAGATTTTAATGAAATTTATACAGCTTTTAGAATACATAATAAACTATACTGATCAAAAAATTTTTATTTAAAAAAAAATTTAAAACCAATTAACCATTGATTTTTTCCCAAAAATCTAGACTTTTTTTGATGCTGCCATTTTGTTAATTTTTGCAAAAAAAGAAAATCTTCGATCAGGCCCAGAATTATCTATTTATAAAGCTATTTTTTATTCGATTGATTTTAGATGAATCCCTAAGGAGTTATGACTGTCACCGCCAGGAACGTTTTTTTAAACTGGGTCAACAAAAACTACTATAACTTTGGAAATAATATTTGATTTCTGAAATTTTGTTACTTCAATTCAAAACATTGTATAATAATGCCGTATTACTATTTTTGTAAAAAAACATCGTTTAATAACAAAAAAATACTGAAAATTCTCATTTTTTTCTGGAACTTTCCGTACTAGAATTATATATTCGAGGGAAAAAAATCAGTCAAAAATGGATCAATGATTTAACATTTAAAATTGTAACAAAAAAATTTGTATTCATTTCCTACTCAGTAGTCTTCATATCAATAGGAATCGAATGTTTTTTGAACCATTCAAATCGGTTGTAATGTGCGCCCGAAATCGTGGACGAGAAATTGTATCCAAACATACAAACATACAACCCACATCCATTTTTTTCTGAGGTATGCCGAAATGTTCAGAAACCTTTGAAACATAAATATATGAAAAAATTTTCAATTTAGATTTTGTTGTTGCAATTACTGTAACTTACCCTACGGGAAGTTAAAAATCTTGATACGAAACCCAACATAATTTTAACAAAAAAATAGTAAATACTGATTTTTAAAAATCTCATCTTTCATTTTTGACCACTATTTTTTTTACTTTTTTTCTATCTCCGAAACCGCTAGATCTGCCTTACCAAAAATTTCATCAATTATTCATTTCGTCATTACAAATAAAATGTTTTTTGAATCATTCAAATCGAGTACTCCGTCCACTCAAAAACTAAATTACCGTTTTTGGCACTTTTTGCCCCACATCTCCAAAACGGTTAAACCTGTCTTCACCAAAAACTAACCAGCACACGTCTTCATATCAATAGAATTGTCATGAATATGAATATATCATATTCTAATATTGTCTAGAGGCAACACTTCCCAAATTTCAAAATTATAATCCTTCGGCATTTTCCTTATTTTATGAATTGATGACAGATAAATTTATTATTTTTAAGAGAGAAACTTATCACGATGGTAAAACAAGGGTCAGTGCCAAATGTGATGGGTCAGAAAGGTTGAGTTTTGTATGGTAGCAGGGAAGACTGGGCATGGTTGTGCCAGGGTACAGTAGTGACAGTTATCATAGCAGATTAATATATTGATACTAGTACTAACTGATAAATTCCAAAAGGCAAAAATAAATTCTTCTTTTTTTTAGGTTCCACAAGCAGAAAACTGAAGTATGTTTGTTCGAGCAAGTTTTCATTTATACATTGAGGGACCGATTCTGCCGCAATTTTATGATAAGGTCATGTTATGAAGAATTTTCCATAGTAATATAAACAAAAGTTATGCGGTTGGTGTTCAGTCAGGCGAATTTCTCAGGTTTTTTTATGCAAAACATAACCTAAAAGCCGCACAAATGTCAAAAAAACGATGTTAGATAAGTGTGTGTTTCTGATACCTCTAGATAACATACGAGTGACGTTGCAGTTTATGTATAAAACGCCGGAATGAACAGCAAATACATGATATTTTGACAGCATTCAGTATGATTCATTCGCATAATGTATGGGAGTCGGAGCGTAACATAGCTATGCCGTAACATTTCTCTGTTATGCGCAGAATCGGTCCATGAGTCAGCGCTCTACATCAATCAGATGCAATTTCTGGTTTCATGTAAAATATGCAGGTGATAATCACTATTATCACCATTGTAATAATGATTTTGACTAGATCTCAGTATATTGATACACAGTTATTGTAATATTTTGACTAATCAGTTAACTGATAATTATTTTTAACATTTTTGACTAATTTCAAATGAGCTATTTATAATAATACTAGTCCTAATTGGTTACTTATTAATTATAAGAATAAAATGATTGCATTGTTCAATTGTTAACTTTATTTAACAAAATATGTTTGTTAAATATTGTAATTATATTCATAAGTTTTATGGTTGTTTAAATCATCATGTTGTATTGTGTCATATATTTCTGACAATAAAAGACGTTATAAACCATTTTGATGATTATATCTATTGTTCTTTAACCTATATCTTTGCCTATCACAACTGTACTGGGGGTAGGACCCAGCCACCAGCTAACTGATAAATTAACAAAATTATTGCTGGTCCAAAAATAGTGACAGCAAAATGTGATTTATACTCGAAACCTGATTACTATTGTAAATAACATAATTGAAAATAATATGCTTTCTCTGAAAGCTGAAATTGTTTTAAGAGTACTTTACTGTAAATAGGTGAAAGTCTCAATACTTACAAATCATCTGGAACTTCAAAATTATAGCTGTGATCTGGTGGATTTTGTTGATTCCAATACTCATTCGGATTATATTGTGCCATCTAGATAAAAATATAAATTAAGAAATATTATACATATACATATATATATATATATATATATATATATATAAATAACTTGATTTTTTGTTCGAAGTTGAAACATATTGAATTGAATAAAGCAGCCAAAGCATCGAATATAGAAAGTTTATTTTAATTTTTTTATACGTTTCTCTAGTCTTTGAATCCAGTCTCGCAATGTATAAAAAAAATTAAAATAAACTTTCTATATTCGACGCATTGGCTGTTTTATTTAATTCAATATGTTTCAACATCAAACAAAAAATCCTCAAGTTTTATCTATATATATATATATATATATATATATATATATATAACAACTCATCAAAACATTTATATTTTTAATTATTTTGTACTAAAAGAATATATAAAAAACATAAGATAAAGAAATTATTTGAAACTTCTTATATAGCTATTATACAAAATAAAAAGACAGATATAATAGACATTTGAAAAAAAAACAGGAATGATATTAAATGAGTTAGTAAAAAGGATGAGTTAGTAAGAAGAAGGAAGTAGATGTTTGTATGTGTATAATTTAGCTTTTATTACAAAAATTAACACAAACCACAACACGACGTTGATAATGCAGAAAAATAAAACTATTTTAAATACAAATAATATAAAGTTTTTTTATAATTATTTTGGTGATTATCAAAGATTTGTATTAATTGACAAATAAAAATATAACCTAAGAATTACGTAGGCATTTATATTAACTAGCATTGGTAGTATGTATGAATAATAGATATTTATATCTGAAATATGATTTACCTCACTATTAATGAAGCATATACACTACTTTAATGATATAACATCAATTAAATTAACAATATACTAATATTTAGTAAATATTGACAATCAAGGTTGACATTTAGTGCAATTTTGACATTTGACATTACTTGACTCGCCACGCGGTACATGTTGACATAGTGCAGTGTTGCCAAATTTCTAATACCTTAATATCTAGCGAACGAACACAGTGTGAAGGTGCATCCACACCTAACGAACGATCACGAACGAACATGACGAACAAGAAAATACAAAAGGTGCGACCACACCTAACGAACAAACATGAAAATACAAAGAAAAACGAACACGAACACGAACAAAGGCAAATCATTCCAAACAAACGCCTCAAAACAGTGAGGGCTTGAATCTTTTTGTTCGAGGATGTACCGTGAAACGTCAGATTCATTTATTATTTAAAGTGGCGAGAAAGAGAAAAATTATTCAAACTCATCAAATTTACAAAATTTGTCAATAATAGCAATATCTTATAATAAACACGGCATAAACTAATGCAGGACTGCACATTTTAACATCAAAACAGAAAAATGTTTGTCTACATTCGTGGTAGCGTCCGCACTGCACATACGAGTTCAAACATGAACAAACAATTATCTTTGATGCACCGACAAGTTGCGGAACATTGCTCGCCATGTTTGTTTGTGTTCGTTCGTATTCGTTGTGGCGTCCACACTATGCTCGTTGCCGTTCGTTCTGGTACGCAAATCTTGCCTGTTCATGTTCGTTCGTTAGGTGTGGCGCACCTTGATTTGCGCGTGGTTTGCTTTTGTTTGAAATTTTTAATCTGGGTATATTATTCATCATGTTCATCATGCACCTTCATGTATTTCTAACTTCCCTTAAATTAGTTATGGTGACTTAGTGACCATGGATAAAAAAAGGTATATGATAGTAAGTAGCTTATTATCTATGGTTAGTAGTCGCAAAAAGTCCAAAAAGAAAATTTTCATATATCTTTACGTTTCAGAGGTTTCTAAACATTTTGGCCTTACCTTAGAGAAAATGTATGTATGTGTGTGTGTTTGTGCATATGGGACACGAATCAACCGATTAGAATAATTCAAAAAACATTCGATTCGTTTTGATGATTAGACGTGCTGATTAGTTTTTGGAAAAGGCAGGTATAGTCGTTCCAAAGATACGGGGCATTGAGACATTGAGAGTCTATAACTGCTGGACGTGCCTTCCCAAAAATTTAATCAGTTATTCATCTTGTCAATGCAAGTAAAATGTTTTTTGAATTATTAAAATCGGACGCTCCGTTCTCTTAAAAACTGAGTTATCGGTTTTGGCACTTTTTGCCTCGTAACTTCGGAACTACTAGGCCTGCCTATGCCAAAACCTAATCAGCATGTCTCCTTATCAAAACAAATCAAATGTTTTTTAAACTATTCAAATCGGTTGATCGTTGTTCCCGACACACACACACATACACACATACTCACTCATAGTGCACAAACACATACATCCATTTTTTCTAAAGTATGCCAAAATATACAGAAACCTTTGAAACGTAAAGATATATAAAAATTTTCATTTTCGATTTTTTGCGATTACTATAACTTGCCGTTAAAAATCATTTTTTCCAAAATTTCAAAACTGTCAAAAAAATTTTTTTTTCAGTTAAAAAAAAATCTTTTCTACAAAAATTAATTTTTGGTACGGAAAGTTCCAGCAATTTATCTTACACGATGCCATACACCACTAGCTTTATGAAAGGATCAGTCGAGCCGTTTTTTTTAATTTTAGTCTACGTTTTTGTAATAAAATGTTGTTTTTTCTTTTTGAATGCGATTTAACATGACAATAGTATTCATGGTCCAAAGCAAAACAAAAATTCTATAAAAATGTTATATGCAGCGGGTAAGTCCATAAAAAGGTCACGAAAAATGACATGCCTTCTCATGGTGGCCAAAAATTGAAATGATTGCCCTAGAGCCACATGCTTTTTGACATATTGACAAGTTTCATTCACTCTCACTGTTGAAGAATGTTAGTGTTTTATATAATCACAATTTTTAATTGTGTAATATAATATATAAGATATCATATTATTAAATTATATCCATCCTGACTGTAAATATAATGCATATTAATAGTAGCATACAAAATTAAAATTTTTACGTTCTTTATTCGACTTTCTTACCTCTGTTAATTTTAAAACAATATAAGATACACAAAGAGAAATGAAGGAAAACATGTGAAATATAAATTTCAACTAATTTATAGCTTAAAAATGCACCTATCAGACTAAAACAAATATTGACAGGCGCTGAAGAATAATTACAAAGAATAGATAGGACAAAATCTGGGCAACGAGTTTTACTTCAAATCCGTCTTACAAAAAGTAATTGAATTGTAAAAACTACAATTAAGAATTGCAGCAGATATTATAAGTATGTTTGAAAGTTATAGTAAATGGAACAAAAATATATGAATTGGAAATAGCATTGATTAGTTTCTAGAGAAAGCAAAAACCTTATTATCGAAATAAATAAATAGCTAAATTTTAATTCTCTCTCATTAAGTCTGTTATTTACGCGTATTGGGAAGTTTGCGAAACTTTCTTTACATAATATAAGGCAATAATCTATTCACATCATTCTATGGCAAAGTTTAGAAAAACCGAACACGAACACGAACAAAGGCAAATCATTCCAAACAAACGCCTCAAAACAGTGAGGGCTTGAATCTTTTTGTTCGAGGATGTACCGTGAAACGTCAGATTCATTTATTATTTAAAGTGGCGAGAAAGAGAAAAATTATTCAAACTCATCAAATTTACAAATTTGTCAATAATAGCAATATCTTATAATAAACACGGCATAAACTAATGCAGGACTGCACATTTTAACATCAAAACAGAAAAATGTTTGTCTACATTCGTGGTAGCGTCCGCACTGCACATACGAGTTCAAACATGAACAAACAATTATCTTTGATGCACCGACAAGTTGCGGAACATTGCTCGCCATGTTTGTTTGTGTTCGTTCGTATTCGTTGTGGCGTCCACACTATGCTCGTTGCCGTTCGTTCTGGTACGCAAATCTTGCCTGTTCATGTTCGTTCGTTAGTGTGGCGCACCTTGATTTGCGCGTGGTTTGCTTTTGTTTGAAATTTTTAATCTGGGTATATTATTCATCATGTTCATCATGCACCTTCATGTATTTCTAACTTCCCTTAAATTAGTTATGGTGACTTAGTGACCATGGATAAAAAAAGGTATATGATAGTAAGTAGCTTATTATCTATGGTTAGTAGTCGCAAAAAGTCCAAAAAGAAAATTTTCATATATCTTTACGTTTCAGAGGTTTCTAAACATTTTGGCCTTACCTTAGAGAAAATGTATGTATGTGTGTGTGTTTGTGCATATGGGACACGAATCAACCGATTAGAATAATTCAAAAAACATTCGATTCGTTTTGATGATTAGACGTGCTGATTAGTTTTTGGAAAAGGCAGGTATAGTCGTTCCAAAGATACGGGGCATTGAGACATTGAGAGTCTATAACTGCTGGACGTGCCTTCCCAAAAATTTAATCAGTTATTCATCTTGTCAATGCAAGTAAATGTTTTTTGAATTATTAAAATCGGACGCTCCGTTCTCTTAAAAACTGAGTTATCGGTTTTGGCACTTTTTGCCTCGTAACTTCGGAACTACTAGGCCTGCCTATGCCAAAACCTAATCAGCATGTCTCCTTATCAAAACAAATCAAATTTTTTAAACTATTCAAATCGGTTGATCGTTGTTCCCGACACACACACACATACACACATACTCACTCATAGTGCACAAACACATACATCCATTTTTTCTAAAGTATGCCAAAATATACAGAAACCTTTGAAACGTAAAGATATATAAAAATTTTCATTTTCGATTTTTTGCGATTACTATAACTTGCCGTTAAAAATCATTTTTTCCAAAATTTCAAAACTGTCAAAAAAATTTTTTTTCAGTTAAAAAAAATCTTTTCTACAAAAATTAATTTTTGGTACGGAAAGTTCCAGCAATTTATCTTACACGATGCCATACACCACTAGCTTTATGAAAGGATCAGTCGAGCCGTTTTTTTTAATTTTAGTCTACGTTTTTGTAATAAAATGTTGTTTTTTTTTTTGAATGCGATTTAACATGACAATAGTATTCATGGTCCAAAGCAAAACAAAAATTCTATAAAAATGTTATATGCAGCGGGTAAGTCCATAAAAAGGTCACGAAAAATGACATGCCTTCTCATGGTGGCCAAAAATTGAAATGATTGCCCTAGAGCCACATGCTTTTTGACATATTGACAAGTTTCATTCACTCTCACTGTTGAAGAATGTTAGTGTTTTATATAATCACAATTTTTAATTGTGTAATATAATATATAAGATATCATATTATTAAATTATATCCATCCTGACTGTAAATATAATGCATATTAATAGTAGCATACAAAATTAAAATTTTTACGTTCTTTATTCGACTTTCTTACCTCTGTTAATTTTAAAACAATATAAGATACACAAAGAGAAATGAAGGAAAACATGTGAAATATAAATTTCAACTAATTTATAGCTTAAAAATGCACCTATCAGACTAAAACAAATATTGACAGGCGCTGAAGAATAATTACAAAGAATAGATAGGACAAAATCTGGGCAACGAGTTTTACTTCAAATCCGTCTTACAAAAAGTAATTGAATTGTAAAAACTACAATTAAGAATTGCAGCAGATATTATAAGTATGTTTGAAAGTTATAGTAAATGGAACAAAAATATATGAATTGGAAATAGCATTGATTAGTTTCTAGAGAAAGCAAAAACCTTATTATCGAAATAAATAAATAGCTAAATTTTAATTCTCTCTCATTAAGTCTGTTATTTACGCGTATTGGGAAGTTTGCGAAACTTTCTTTACATAATATAAGGCAATAATCTATTCACATCATTCTATGGCAAAGTTTAGAAAACCGAGTAGTTAATTGTATGACTTCTTGACATTTGAAGTTATTTGAACTCATTTTATATAAAAATTGGAAAAAGTATGTGTTTATGTGAGTTTTTCTCGAAAACTGCTGC